GCCAGGAATTTCTGGCCGTACCCGCTGTTCAAACAGTGCCATGCAGCAGGAGTAACCCAAGGTCTGACTCGCATAATGCGAGTGCCGGCCCCGAAGGAATGCAAACACACGCTCCACCATGCAAGCACTCCCGATGCTGCTCGCAGGCTGCACCCCACCAGGTAACCCCGACCCTGCTGCAAGCAGTCCTGGCCCAACACCAGCCGCCGCCACGCCAGCGGCCGCCTAGGAGGAGGAACGAGCTCAGCACAAGTCAGAGCTGTGCCGGGGGGAAGCCTTCGGCACACAAGAATGAATCTATTTGCTGCCCAAGTCATTTTTCTCAGCTCAAATGACTTGCACCAGTTTCTAGCTGTACCTCGTGGCTCTCCTCCCCCCTGCCTGGCCGTACCTGCCTGTACGCCAAGGCAAACGCCTCCTTGCTCCTCTGCCTGCCTGGGGAGAGCCCTACCTACGACTCCCACCAGATAAAGATCTGGCAAATCCTATCAGCAGAGCCCAGCCAGCTTGGTCCCACTGCAGGCCAGCAAAGAGAAACTGCTTTTGAACACCAGAGCCAGCTGCAAGCCCCAAGCTGGTCCTGGGGTCAGCCCGCTGTACCTGCTTGGGATTTGTGAAACAGGACAGCCCTTGTAACAGGGTCACAGCAGGATTTGTGAAACATCAGGACAGCAGGATTTGTGAAACAACAGCCCTTGTAATCACATAGAGTTGGGCTCACGGATCTTTAAAATCACCCACGCTGCCAAGAAGCAGAGTTACCAGTTGGTGTACAAAACCCACAAGACAAGCACGTGCAGCAGCAAGGACGAGCCAGCCAGACGTCAGGGCAGGCCATGCCGAGACCAGCCCTAAACCCCGGGGGTTCTCAGCTAAGCACATCCAACGGTCTCATTCGGGAAAGCCCCATTGCGCCTCTGCCACAGCAACACACGAGGGACTCGTCCAAGGTACAAGGAAGGGAAAGGGAAAGGGAAGATTTGTTCATTGTGGCCCTGGTCTGGTGGGCCCCGAGGTCCCACAAGCACGGCCGAGTCGTGCAAGCACCACGGCCCCACCTCTGCCAGTTATCTGAATTGTGCCGAGCCAAGCACCTGCCCTGTATTTACAGGGCTGTAAAGGATAAGGCCCAGATTTATCGTTACAGGCAGGAGCTTTGAGTGCAACAAGGAAAGCTCAAAAGCCAGTCTATGCGGTACGGCAGCATGGACACTCCTTCAAGGTCTTCTGATGATCTCAAATTGCTTTCATTCAAAAAAAAGAAGTCAAAGTCCATCACCTGCAAAGTAGCTCAAGGCTCACTGTTATTTCAGGGTGGTGGAGAGCAGGGAGCAGCGGCGGGAGCCAGGAGCCTGCTCTTTGGGACACAAGCGCTGCACACAGCAGCTCTGACGGGGCGCACGTGGATGCCATCCTTCAAACTCGGAGAGGGAAAAAATGAAGTTAAGGCCAGCTGTGTTTACAAAGAACAGCCCACATTATCAACAGAACAAAAGGCTCCTGCGGAGGGGAGGGAAAACAGAAGAGTTAGGATGAGCATGCTCAGGTACTTCCAGAAGCAGCCCCAATATCAAAATGCCGAGCTGTTCTCTGAAAAAGGAGCTACATCCCCTTCACAGTTATTTTATGGGCAAAAATACTTGGAAACCTCATCACTGGTGTGAGAACACTGCCTAGCTCCTCCCGATTTCCAGCTACCCGAGTTCAGCACGAGCAACAGTCGCATCTAAGAATACCTCACACGATGCAAAAAGCATCTTAATTTAAAAGATGCATCTTAAGTTAACGTCTTAAGAGATTTCACACCTTCAGTACTGAGCTTTGCAGAGCAGCTGAGCCCACTGTGGTTCCGTTACACACAAGGACCCGGCCTTCCCTTGACACACCGCCTTCCCGGCACGGCTAAGGCCAACAGAGCCCTGGGTCTGTTCTGAAAAGCTTCGTTAACGCAGCCGAGAACGACCAACGTCCTCGAGCCCTACTCGCCAGTCACTCGCAATTCTGGGCATACAGACCCGCTACCACCCTCCCCCTTCCCCCTGGATAACAAGGATGACGCTAAAGAGCCATTTCCACGCAGGACACGCCGCGAACGCCGTCCTTCCGCTCAGGCCCGGTGGGAGCGCGGGCGCTTCCCCCGCGGCGCCCCTCGCCTCGTTCCCGGGGTGCTCGTGCTCGGAGCAGGCGGCTCTTCCTCCCAGCCCACCTCTCCTTTTGGTCTGGAGCCTGCCGCGCTCATAAACTTGTATTGCGACATCAAGCCGATATGAAATCATGACGAGTTCCCTGAGATTAAGTAAGGAGCAGATGGGGCTCGCGGAGCTGGCTAAGCAACAAATCTAAATTGGAGAATGCTGTCAAGAGAAATTAAAGCCTTATGCAAAAAGCCAACTTGGGATCCCAGAAAAATCCCAACTGGCAGGGACTGCAGGGAGGCAGCTAGCTCAGGCTCCTGCTCAAAGCAGCGCAGCTACCACCCAGGCCCCCACGCCTCGGCTGCGGCCCGTGTCAGGAGGGGCACGGCACGCGAGGCACGTGCGGGCCCCTGCAAGTCGTAAGCAGCACACCTGAAAAAGCACCGGAGAACAGGGAGAACAACGCAACAGCAGAGCAAGTAAACACGTAAGCTTGAAAAATAACCCCCATACAGACAGAATTCGATAAAAAACAGCAAAAAAAAAAATTAGGATGGCACACACTGGACAGGCTTGACATGCCTACCAGAAACCTATCTGGCTTTCAGAGACAGACAGCATTTTCACCACAGCCAGGGCTCGAATTCATCGCTTGTTACCAATACCCACCACCACGCAGCACAGCAGGCAAGGCAGCGAGAGCGCCGTTACTAACGCTGCCAGTAACCCAGACGCAGCGCAGTCTGTCCTTCTTTCAGAGCCTCTCATGGGAGAGGAGAAAAAGGCTCTCGATTGCTTTAACAAGGCATGGCTTAAATAGGTTGAAAATAATCAAGCAGTATGGTGCACATACAAGCACTCCACGCTCCAAATTAAGCAATCCTTTAGGTGTCCTTAGGACGCCTCTCAGTTGCTACCAGGTTAATAAATTGCTTTGAAACCCTACACACAGCTTAGTAGGATGACTAAGAACCCGTGGTCACAGCTAATGCCATTACCTGAATTCTAGCACTTTCCAGGGAGCACGAGGCTGTAGTTCTTGCGCTTTATGGCCTCTGTTATAATGATAATCACTTGTAAGGGGCCTGGGATCGCTTGCAGAAGTTTTTGACTTTGCATCAGGACAGTAGGTAAGAGTAAGCCTCCCAACACAAAACCTTGGCAGAGCTGCAACCAGAAGTCAAGATCCACATAGTTTTTAATGCTTTCACTTTTAAGTCTTTGTTACAAACCAAATAGATTACACAGCAAATGAGTGTTCAGTATCACAGCACCTCTTTAAGGAAGGTCGCCACCTTGTTCACTGTTCAGCATGTCTGGTGCAGGCTGGTTTTCTGCACAGCAGCACGACACCGCTGGCAGTTCAAGCTCACGCTTCTGCGCGGAAGCAAACTCTGTAGCACACCATGCCTGAAAGACTAACCGGGCTCCACGCTCCTCCGCAGGACAAGGCTTGCGGTTGACACCCCAACCATATGAACGGTTCTTGCTTGCGGTGCTTATCAGGGGCAGTTCTGTTTCTAAAATTTGACAACCCTCCTCAAAGTCATGAGTAAATTTAATGGACAGAGGAAATAATTTCTTCTCTTGAAACCAAATGATTTCCCCCGATTTTTGATAAATATCTCATGTCAAAGCAAGAAAAGTGGTGCCAAAGCAATTCCAAGCAGCCACTCTGAAAACAGCTGCCAAGAAGGCATTTCATTGATGCTTCGTCCCCTTCTCCCAACGCGTGTTGTCAGGTGCATTGCCTAGACAGCAGAAATCGTATACAAGGACATCACACAGTATTCTAGATACCAGCTCTTAGAAACATACCAGTTTTCATATGAGGCATTGCTCGTAAAGCATCCTTATTCCGATGGGGCAACACTTAGAGTCTAGAAAAACATCCTAGCCAGAAGAACGAGCTACATTCCTTCTTCTGTCTTCAGGTAACAGAGACTGCTCTGACTCGGGAGAGAAGTTTCCAAACGTGCACCGATATCTCTGGAGCCCGGCAGACTTTTTGCCTCCCTGTACTCCCAGATTATCTATACAAACGTTTATTAGCACACAATGTTCTCCAGCTAAAGTTTAACGTCTTCTCAGGGCAGATCCTTCTCGTAAAGAGAATATGCATAGTGACCGCACCAGAGCGCGGCCTTGATCCAGATCACCACTCTGCGATGACAGAGAGTGCACAGTGTAAGTATCATGATCTTGAAGAAATGGTTTTCAAAATGAAAGACCTTTTCCAACAGTAAAAATATGAACTGTGAGCAGGAACTCTGCTACATGCATGGAAACCGTCTAAAAAGCTAACATACAAACAACATTTACACAATAGGCATCTGGCAGCATTTTCAGACATTTTTTTAATTTATTCTGACATGCTATAAAGGAATAAATTACACTGTTAAAGAATTACCAGCAATAAAAGTATTTCTTTCTTTCAGCTGGGCTAGAATAGGAGTGAGAAGGAAGACAGCCTGGGGCAGTAACCAATGTGAACTCTGCATGGTGCGAGGCTGTCCCCGAGAACAAGAGTAAGTCTGGTCATATCCACTTCACAAGAACTTGAAAGAAAATGCCTTGGTTTAAAGCCATCCAAATACTCCATTTCCAATTTTTCTCAAAACTAGCAATCACAAGTCAGTCCAGCCAATGCATGACATGGCAACGCTCGGAGGCTGCCAATACCGGGTCTGCAAAAGATGCCATTTCATTTTAAAAAAATCCAATCTTAGTAGAGAGGGCTGGTCTCAAACAACAAGTTACAAAAATGCAAGACTGCCCCTTCCCCCTCAAGGAAAAAATACAAAATTTATTTAAAAACAAAATGAGGAAGAGTTACAACACTAAATCTAAAATGATTTAGAAGGAAATATGACTTCTTTTGCTTAACAAATGGCCTCGAAACTTGGTTTAAAAACAGGGTGATGTAGATTTCTTAAACTGAATTAACAAGGCAAATTAAAAAAATCTCATTTCCTTACAGAAACAGTTTTTAGTTTTTAATGAACTTGTAAACAAAAAAGCTCCCGCTTCAAAATAAAAACAAAATCCCAGATCATATAGATGTTTACAGTGATTACATTTATCTAAGCAACTTACATACAGGTTCAGTTGTAAGATGTTAACTAAATTTTGTGACAAATATGCTGTTTTTCCTTTTATACCAAGAACATTATAGAGTTAATGCAGAGTCCTAAAGATTATCTAGTAGTCGCTAAGTTTCTCTTAAGTCTTCACTTTAGATGCTGTTATTTCTAGCACAGGTAAGCAGGCAGAGTCTTTCATATGCTTAAAAACTGGAATCTTTGGTTACTACCATGTCAGCTGGCTTGGTATGTTGCACATAGAAGCCAACAACTTTAAGAACGTTTTAAGTGTACAACTTTCAAAACCCAGGGAGGAATAACCAGAAAAGAGTGCACAATTGTGAGCATTTACAATTATCACAACTGTTGCCGAAGACTGTTCATGCCATTCTTCCAAAACAATGAGATCTCATAAGCAGTGTAGTTCAAAGTAAAAAGGTAACAAAAATTGGCATATGCACAATTTTCTCCACTTGTGTGTCAACCATTAGTTAACTTTTCCACTTGAAAAAATGCAATAGAAAACTGGACACCATGTTTCACTATCTCAGTAATATTCACAATTACAGCTGCTACAACTCAAAGTGCAGCATCATTGACACTGCCCAGAGCCAGTTTATACTGATATTAAGTTCTTTACACCAAGTAAATGGTTGCCCACAGCCACTGGCAAGTGTACGTATGAACTAAAATTTCTAGGATTTGGGGAGTGACAAGTCCTGCTCCGATCTGCTCTGCTTTGTCCCATCCTCGCCATGCTCAGAAACCTGCAAGATAAACACAAGGGCAACTTACTGATACGGGATGAAAATGAGAACCAGCCTTCACAGCAGGAGAATTAAACGTCAGTTATGGTCATTCAAAGGGGAAAATGCTGCTCTGTTTCAGAATTGCAGAGTTCCTGGTGTCCGTCTCCAAAGCTAACCAGCATTTGCCACCACCCTTTAGCTCAAACACACACCTCTCACGCACACCTACTGCTGCACTGCCAAACAGGCTGATGCACCAGCTGGATGCCCCATTCCTCAAACAGGAATTCCGACCAACAGGTCACTTCTTGTCTGAAGAAAAGATGTGTTATTGCCGCTAGGAAGCGGGATGTAATTTCATAGGATTGTTTTCTACTTGTCTGCAATGTCTCGTGTTTATATCCTTGAATGTCAAACTGTCATCTGATTGCAGTGGTGCCCCTCAGAGATGCAGTACAGCAGCGTCACACAGACAGAAGGAAAAGGACCAGGAATAACTTACCTTACAGTAACTGGTATTCACCACGTGCTCACATGTGCAACGATCGGGGCAACCAGAACAGAAGCAAGAACCTCTGACAGTGACTAGGAACCCAGCAGACCCTCTGTCCTTGGAAGGACAAGTGAAACAACTCATGTGACAGGGGCGGTGGGGTATCCAGAACAACTCTTTTAAAATTCAGTACTCCAAATGGCAAGTTCAGACATTGTGGAAAAGGGAGAGTAAAGGAATACATACACAGATCTCAAAGAACCAGTTACTGCAAGCTAAGCCAGTCTTCTCTTCATGTGACTGCTTATATACTCATTTCTGGTGACTCAGGTAGTAGCACTGTGCTTTAAAGAGGTAACAGTAGTCTCAACCAAAGACTACTTTGCCAAGCAAGTTTCCGTTCTGGATGCCCTCCAAACAGCATGGTATCCTGTCGATGCATGAATTCATCTGAGCAACAGCTCTGAGTTTTTGCAATAGAATTCTCTTCACAGTGAAATACAGACAAAGCTGACCTCAGCTATAGCTTGTGCTGTCATCCAGAGAGAAGCAAGTGCAAACAAGTCTTAAACATAGCCTGACGTTCAATCAAAAATGTATCTGGATAGTACCCAGGAGACAGCTTTAACTCTTCCAGAATAGCCTACAGGTAATTTAGAAGATATACAATAGCTTGCTTTGAACCCAATCTTAATGCACTGAAGGATAAGTCTTTATCCAGCACTAGCAATTCTAAAAAAAAAAAAATATCCTGCACCAGAATTAAGGCAGTCATTCCCACTTGGGTGCAAGTTCTCACAGAAACCCCAGTGATTCCTTATGCCAGTGGAACTCAGGTTGTCCATAACCCTTACTTGATGCATACAACCAAAAGTTACACTGTTTTTCCATTTAGTGTGTTCAGCAGTGAACATTGATTCATCATTTGAACCACTTTCTCCATCAAAGCAGCCAAAACTAAGTCAACAAAGGAGGAGTGTGCTCCCACTGTGGAAAGAAACAGCTCAACTCATTGCTTTAGAAGCCTGGATGTTTCAAATGAAAATAGGATCCTGAACCTGAGGACAAAGGACATGCTAACAAATGATATGCTGCTATTTGTTAGAATACCTCAAATCCAAGGTATGCCCAACTCTACAGAGAGGAATAGGGAACTGGGTTCAACCCACAGCATCCCTTGCAAGTCCCATTATGACTACACAGAAGTGTTCCCAGCCACAGCTGTCAAATGAGATGTTGAGACATTCATGTAGCACACGAGACTTTGCCAGTATGAAGAACATGCTGCAGAGTTTACGCTGGCATCTCTCTAACCGATCTTCACGATACACAGGGCCAGCTCTAACGTGCACATTCATCACTCCTTGTCCCTCTGGGGTGTTACCCAAAACTCTGATAATCTCTACGCTACACGAGGGATACTCAAATTGCTTTATTACTATAGCTGCAGATCTGATCAACGGGGGAAGCGTAACTGTACTGTCATACTCTGAGAAGCTCCTCTACTTGAGAGGTGTTCAAACTTGTTCTCTATTAAGTAGCTGTAGAGACAAGCAGTGAGAAGTATTTAGTTGTCAATTGGCTACATCTCAAGTAGTGAACTAATAGTCTGTTCCGAGAAATACTGCCACGACCATAGGCGTCCAGTGAATGCTAACGGGACTGCTGACAGGCTTACAGAACTCTACACTGAAGTGAATTAAAAACATCTCTCACAAATGGAACTGATAGACTTTACCCTGGAGATTGACTGCTTGAGTCAGTTTTATGACTGAGGGAAGCTGACTGTAAGCGTTGTTACACATCACACCTGAACAACTGCTGCACTGTCAAGAGATGGAGAGCTAAACTTCCCAGAGTCAGCAGAGAAGCTCTGTCTGTTGAAACAGGTCACCTCTCCCAAGTTCAAAACCAGCTGATCTTGCTGTTAGACACTGCACAGGCTTCCAGAGAGGGGAGCAGCAGGCAGAGAGAAAAGGCCATTGACAGAGCAGGCTACCCTGGAACCAAATAGAATATTCAGCTTGAATAGCCTATAGGACTCAGTGAGATGGTTTAGTACGGATCTGGAGTTAAGGCAGCCAGGAATATCTATAAATGAGCACACTGTCCAAACAATCTAAGTCATGTAAGCCTCTGGACACTGTTTGAAAGAACTAAGATTTCACCACCCTCCCCAGACGCACAGCTTCAATAGTACTTGCTCTTTATACAGTATACTGTAAGATTTTAGCTCATAAACCAATAAAGCATTTTAACCTGTAAATTGCTATTTCCAGTACTCTTGTTAAACTGGTATAATTCCTGTTAAACTGGATATGGTTACCAGAAGGGTATAATTCGATACCATGAAGCCTTTTAAGTCACTTCAGCACAGGCTTTGCTTCAGCAACTACAAGACAATTTAACTGAACTCTGGAAAAAAAATATCCAGCTATTTCATTCATCTTCAACATGACAGCAACATACAAGCCATACAGCCTCCTGCTTGAGCTTAGCTGGTTTCAGAAAAATCCGCATTAACAGGCAATGTCCCCCCCAAAAAGGCACACAGGATTTGAGAAATCTGGATTCTTTACTTTGATGAAGAGACTAAGCTAACCATTTTAGGAAGCTGGGGAAGCCTTCAGATGTTCGACAAGTGCTACGTTAATGCTTTGCTGACATTACAGCTTGATGGATGCAAAGGTCACAAGCCTTTTCTTCATGATGGGGAGGAGAGAGGAGGGAGTCATTCCCCCAAAAGGCTGTTACTCTGTGCAAGAGCCAATGAAACTCTGCTAGAAAACCAGCAGCTTCTCCATAGCTATAGTGATGGGCCTCGTTACCAAAGGACAGTGCAATGAGGAATGTCCATCAAGAAACAGGAATGGTCTGTAAGGTTCAACTGCAAGACGGCTTCCCTGTTCCTCATGCCTGTCAGTCAGCTGCAGCTTTGCACTCCATCATGAAATCATCGTGAGAAGGTGGAGGCAGATAATCATTATAATGACCTTCTCTTCGCTTACGGTAAAGCACTTGGTCAGAGACTGCCTGGGCCAGGAGAGCAGCACATTAAATCCCAGAATACTTCACCAGCAAAACAACATTTCAAGTGCATACAACTTGATTTTCAGGGCACCATCCATTTACAGATCATCACCTCCTGTAAGACCTTCAGCATGAGCTGTTGCGAAGAATACGCATTTTTGCCCAATTACTTCCTCCCGCTCTAACAGCCAACCTCTCCACAGCCCGCCAGTGGGCTGGGTTCAGTAGTGGGTTCTGAACTCCAGCCAGAGCTCCTGTATTTCAGGAAGCAATCCAAGCCTGGGTACTTGATCACTGAGTCTGCTACCTACCGGCGTTCCAGCTGAAGGAACTGGTTTACAGCCTTTGGTGTTGTAACACCCGTCGGCTCCAGCAAAACTAGTTGGACCCTTTATGCTACAAAGAACCTGACATTTAATGGTATCCCTATGGAAATCTTTTTTTCTTCAAGAAACTGTTTCAGACTGAGTCTTGGGAAGACCAGCAGGTATTTTACTTCTTCATTTTTCCGGATGAAGTGTTATATTTTTGGATAGCTATTTTGACTAAAGCCACCTGGTAATGTTTGAATGCTGCCACAATACATGAAAAACACTGTTTTGATAAGTTCATTGTAAACACTTCTGCATTTCTTTGACTTCCAAGTCTGCCATGTTAGCTTAATAGATAATTTTACACATATAAAAGTGATAGTCAAGACAAGAATGTACTGAAGAGTAGCAAGTACTAGCAATAATTCAGTACATAACTTAAACATAGCTTCTCTATTCTCACTCGAACAACCTCATTAACTTCAATTTTATCCACAGCTCATCTTGAGGAACCAGTTTCATTACAAGACTGGCTGGAATAGTCACCAGCTGTAGTAGTTTCATTTCAGTGACTTACTAGGCTAACACTGGTAGATTTACATGACAAAAAAAAAGTTTCTAAGATGTGTAAAAAAAAAATCATATGTGCCTTTTCAGAACTCAGTTTTTCAGTTTTTACACAATTACATCTTGAACAATTCACAACATTTCCCTTTGAAACCATAACCTAGAACATTAAAAATAGTCAAGAAACCTGAAGCACCACCCCAGAGTATCCCAATACTTCAGAAAATTGTGACTTGGCAGTCCACAGCAGTTTGGGGTTATTCCTTGATTTAGGCAAGACATTTTGAGCTCACTGGTCCTTTCCTTTAACTCTGGACCAAACGTCTCAATGTAAACCCACTGGAGGAAGCCAGATCATTCACAATTTTCTGTTTCCAGTGTTTGAGGTATACAGAACAGAAGCAAACCCACAGCACTATACCAGCTGGAACAGAGTAGAACCCAAAGTCTCTAGATCCTTGCCTAGTTAATGAGAATTATCCCTTAAGAAGTGTTAGGTCTAGGATTTTGGATTGTATTATATATTTATATATATATATAAATATATATATATAAATAAAAATAAATAAAAATGTCACATTCCCAACACCAAGTCAGTTTCTTGTTTTTGGAAAGTGGTTAATGCAGGAGCAAAAGATGCAGTGGTTAAAATGACCCAACATCCCCAGAAGAAATGATATGAAGAACAAGGACATTTTGGTATAAAGTTAGTAGTCAAATTCTCCAAGGACGTCTTTTGTTTTTGCCTTTTAAATTAACAGCCAAATATATATTTTTAAACCACCTCCTTGATCTAACACTTAAATTGCCAACATTGTCCAAATTAGTGTAATTTTTTTTTCCTGTAACGTCACTTGGTTCTTGGCTACTAACCTTTCATGTTACTCTTGGATTTGTCAGTTTGCTTGCCTGTGGGGGTTTGGGCCTGCTGCCCCTGCCCACTGGAAGAGGCTGCCTGCTGTGCTGCTTTCTGCTTTAACATCGTCCAGTCGAATGTGTAGTCATATTGGTGGTTCAAGGTCCTAGAAAAGAGTGAAATGCTTTACTGTAACACATCCTAACTTCCTTATTGCTAATACCACGCCTTTACTGAAAACCCAGAACTAGAGGTTAACTCTTTTTGTAAGCTGCTTTGGAGATTATGAATGGTATATAAATGCTAAGTATTAATAACTTGAAGGGATTCTTGAAGCAAGCCCAACTACCATCAAGCAGCATTTTCTTCACTGTTTACGAAAAGTCTGCATTTGTAGAAGCAGCACATCCTCACAACCCAGCTTACCCATTTGCCTGCACCAAGGTTCTCAGCTTTTTTTTTTTAGATATATATAGTTTTAAGGAGAGACTGCAGTATTGTAGATCATCAAATAAAAATTGCTTTGGATTCTAGAAACCCGGAGGGAGACTCTTGAGAGATCAGTACCAGCTCTTCTTTCAACAGATGCTGTTCACTCCACAAGGCTGAGTTTATGTTCTGGTTTCTCTAACAAGCTCAATGAAACAGCACTATTCCCCTCCATTGAAATCCATCTCCCAGGCACCACTGCTAGCCCCATCACCAATCTCCAAATATAAAAAGCTTCAAACACTTCTACTAAGGGGTCAATTTCTTAAGCTACTTGCAACAGAGCATGGACTCAACCCTCTAGCATTAGTGGTCAGATCATGCAATGCAAAATCAGAATTTTTTCCTTCATGTTTAACATTGAACAATATTTTTCAGGTCCTCTAAACAGCTTTTCAAACTCTGAAATGAAAGCAAGTCCCAGAAGAACTCCCTACACCACACACATACGGAGCAGCTTTCTGCAGCTTAAGTCCCACAGAGCAGTTACCAACTGGTAAAACACTGACAAATTTCTGTACGTTTCCACTTTGAGACTGACCTGAAAAGAATACGGAATAATTGCCTCAGATACATGTAATCTGGTGCCTCTTCAAAGCGCAGGCCACGACAGTAGTTCAGATACATGGCAAATTCTGCAGGGAATCCCTGTAAATCAACAGTGTTAATCAAGCCATGGCTTGCAGCAAAAAGCTTCTAACAACCCTATAAGAAGGCGAAAAAGCTGTATTTGTCTATAATGGCAGAGAAAAACTGGCTGAAGATTCATAAATGTAAATTCCACTTTGCCTCTAGTTATTCATTTATTCTGTACTTCAGAAAGTGGATTTGATCAGCAAGTTACCAGGTGCACGTTCCTTCCCCAGGATTGTTACCTGATGCATGTTTTGCAATCACAAGTCCTCTGCTACCAAAACCTTCAATATACAACATATTAAAAGCACTTCGTTCATCCTAATTAAACCTCGTTCTTATTAACTAGGTCTCTGAAATAAGTAGTAATTGACTCTTAAAAGATTCCACTCATGTTTCCTTGATAATCTACTTGAGCATATTAGAGGCAAGGTCAGTTACCACTATTAAGTATGAAGACAAACCATGAAAACCTCTTTCAAAGATTCCCTGCCTTACATATTTATACATTTCATGCTATATTAAAGCCTACATGTAAATAGGTAATAGCATACAGCATAGTGCTGTACTACAAGAAAGAGAACAGGGTATAACAGTCAGCAGTTTGGAAGATGCTGTCAGACTGGAAGGGTATATAAATGTGCACGACTAGGAAGTGCAGTCCTTGGTGCTGCTGTTTGACGTGCAAAAACTACCACGTGTTCTCAAGGACCTTTGTTAACAAGCATGTGGCTGCCACAGTTCAAGACAAATCTTAAGACCCAAAGGACAGCATTGGAAAAACATTCTGTGACATGGCTTTAAAGATCATTTTTCATCCAATTCCACTACAGCCTCTGTTTGAGATGGAGAAGACAATATGAACAATCTTGAAGAAGCAGAAACAAGTATATACAGGCAAGCTATACAGCTCTACCTTGGTTTTATTTATCCAAGGCGGCACACGTTGAACTTTCACTGTAGAAGCTGAAGAAATGAACAAGCCTCACCTAAAGAGCTGGAAAGCTTGCACAGCCAACAGTCACCAAGAACTGGAATGATGGTGGCATGAACTGTGCCAAGAAACAGCAGCAAATGCCTCCCCTGTTACACACGTACACAGTCTTGCTGGGTGGCCAAACACAAGGCACCCATGACTGCCAGAGAAGTATTATTCGGCAGCAAATGCCATGTGAGACTAATATATTGGCTCTAGTTTAAAAAAAAAAAAAAAGAAAAACCAAGAAAGAAAAGAACTTCCATTTTGCAGTATGACATCATTTGGAAACTCTTACCTTACACAAAACCTCAACAGGAGTAGACATTTTCTTTTCACTAATCTTTTCATACTTTTGCTTCTTTGTTGCAGCCTGTGGAACATGTAGGTCACAATATAAGAGATATTGTGCAACACTGGATTAAAAAGGACAGTAGCAAAAAAATGACAAAAATCCTTTGGTCAACCATAAGTATTTTATGTGAAATCTCCAAGTCCCACACACTTACTGCAAAGAGAATGAAGGTCAATCTGGTATTAAGATTTGGACACAGTTTAATACCATTTGTCGCAGTCTAATGCTTCCATCACATGGCACAGCTCATGTAGTTTAGCTGCTGCTTTTGTCCCGTTAAACAGAGCAGACTTGCATTTACATTTGCCAAAGTTCTATTAATTCCCACTCAGCACCCCATTCAAGGGCTGCCTGCGTGTTCCAGTAAGCAGCCATTACATTCATTTGCAGCTGAAGAGTTCTAGTGTTTCACAAGCTGCTTGCCTTTTTAGAAAACTTGCAGCTGCAACACCATTTGAGTTACACAACTCTCAGATGGAGGAAGAAAAACAATTAAAACATGAAAACAAAGCACCGAAGTCTATAACAAATATTTGCCATGCTTGTACTTGGCTACCATACATGAAAATACTTGAAACAAGTCTGTTGCAGCTAATAACTCAGTTGTGCCATAAACTGGACTGAAGATATCACTAAAGCTGGACTTGCTAGGCAAGAGATTATTTCCATGCTCTACTACAGCAATTCCAAAAGTCACAATGTTATTTTCTGCTTCCCAAAAAGGGCCTCAGCCTACAACAGGACAATAATAATTTGCAAAGATGACATAAGCTATTGTTTAGCGTAAGATCTAAGACAGTTAAAGAATACACATTTTGCCTGCTGCACAAGAAGCAGAAAGAACCTTTCTTCTAGATTCTATAAATATCACGCCTCGGGAAAAGCCACTTTGTATAACTGAAGCTAAACATTACATACAACCACCTCTCCAGACCAGCAGGCAGAAGCACAATACCCAAACATGAAAAAAACAGGCTGGGGTAGGGGGGAAGGCAACATAACCTACCTTTAATCCTTGCCAAGGCAGACTGGTTCTGTTGAAGTACATCAATACATAGCCTAGAGACTCCATGTCATCCCGACGACTGGAGAAAGAGGAACACCACACTGAATTACAAATTTTGCCATTTCATCCTTCATTCTAAATAGTGCAAGCATTCCAAAATTAAAAAAAAAAAAAGAATTAAGGAATAAAACCTAAGCTTTGGCGCAAAGAAAGGTCTCTTTCTAATACAGCTAACACATCTAGGTGTTCAGATTTCACTGGCAGGCACGTAACAAGTCTTCGCGAGCAGGAAGGAGATCCTAATCATTTTGCAAGCAAGGAATAGTCAGTAGGTATTGTGTGTGGCAAGTTTCCATCTGCAGTTACATTAGAATAATCTGGGAAAAAAACTTTGGAAAATAAAAAATGAAACATTAAATGTCTTTCCCATTTAATTAAGTAGCTTGGATAGAAACCAAAGTTTTACCTGTAGGGACCACAGAATGCATTGTAAGAGAGACACAGGACGTTACCCTTAACTTCATTAAGGAAGATTTTTCCCTGAACCTTGCCTCAGTCTGGGACCAATGCTGAACACCTAGAACCACAAGGGCCTAACTCCTTTCTTCACTTCTGGTAAAAAACCCTCAACTATCTCTGATTTTTTAAAAGACAAGCAACATTTAGAAAGGTGCATGCATCAGAGAGGTGCCTCTGCCTTCTTCCCACAAGAAGTCTGTTTCAAGGCAGCTAGAGAACTCCGAAGTTATCCATCCACAGACTTCACTGAGAACTTGCACACAAACTCTCATCTAAAAGGCTTCAAATGTTTTCTGTACTGCACATGCTCCAGATCCACACTTCAGCCACATGAACACCATCACACTTAGCTACACAGCGTTCATGATTACTAAGGCTAGTACAGTTCACTGAAGTGGAAAAAATGCTCCATAATTTTTTTTCCTCTTGGCAAAGCTGCCTCTTCCCAGCTGTGGTAGAATCAGATTTTTCCTCTGACTGCCCCTCTGCAGCTGACATCTATTTAACATGAGACAGAAAAACAGCTTAGTTTTTCTCCTCCCAGCTCCCTTATCAAGAGAACCTGACAGGCATTGCTGCCACTTTGCCACCCAGACAGATCTGCAAAAAAAGCATTTAAATGGTGGCAGGAAAGACTACGCACCTACTACCCCCACAAGGGAGCAAAAGGCTGCGCTCAGTATTGCAAACAGGAATACACATATGGGTGAGGGTAAAACAGCTCCCTTCAAGGGAAAACAATCTGTAAGAACCTGGACAGATCTACCTCCAGATTTTGATAGGAGAGGAAAGCAGGTGATGCTTTATGCTATAGCCAACCCAATATAACCACTAATAATCACGGGAACAGCCTGCCTGTCACCCCCTCAACTCATGTTCCAGCTCTCTGATCCTTTGGGGAGCCAGCTCAGGGAGCTATCCCAGATGAAAATCAGCTTGGCTCCCTAAACCATTTCACCACAAGGCCGAAAAAGCACTCGTTGCGCCCAGGGGTGAGGGAAGATTGGTTCACTCCTCTCGACAGCAGCTAGCTCGGAGGGCATCCCAGCTGTAACATGAAACCGCGGTCAGAGACGGAGGGGTGAAAAGTGATCCTAAGACCACAAACTCCAGCCTGCAAAACTTGCTAATTCTATTAGAACTGCAGATTTTAATCACCAACAGGATTCAGTGAACTGGTATGGGGCCATGACATAAAATTACATTTTCTGAGAAGGCAGCGGTAAATTCAGAAGCGATAAAGGGATTAGCAGTTTCCATCCCCCATCCAGTTCATTGTTTTAATGTTTAATTTCATGATTTCGTAGTAGAAAACATTTAGTTCTGTAAATCTGTAATGGATATATTACATTTGAGCATATACCGATGAAAGTGATTTTCAGGATTTGGAAAACAGGACAATACTCTCCATTACTAAAACGAGAAATGGATAACATTGCAAACAGCTCCGAGAATAGCTGCCATTACATATGGGAAAACAGGTTCTGTAACAGTTAAAATACAGCACTAAGAGTTGAAATATTCTGCCATAAGCTTCAAGACTGGTTTCTCTTGATTACAGGAATATATTATTTGTTTGCCTCACTGTTGGCTTGATCTAGACAGTTTAATAGCCTTTAGCATGCACCAAGCTACATTTCTAATTATATTAGAATTCCCAGTACCAGCAGAGATGGTACAAGGCCTCCAACTAAACTCAAAAGCCATAGTCCTTTGCAGTTCCCTCCCTTCGCTGTAAGGTGCGAGCGCCACTGTTCCCTTACACAAACGGCTTGGGTCCTATGAAATGTACTTCAGAAATGACACCTGTCATCTACCCTACTTGACCCACATGTCAAGTAGGCTTAAATAATGACACTGACAGACAATAAGATACACTTAAGGAACCTTAAGGAAATCAAAGCAAAGAGGAAACACAGAGCATTTTAAAGCACCAAATACTTGCAAGTTACACGTTCTGTTGAAACTGACCACTAGAAATTCTGTCATTCCCATCTTGATTACAGGGAAGGTCAGAGGCACAGACATTCATGGAAGTTTTAACTATGTCTAAGCATCCTCAGCATCATGTGGCAAAGCCACACTACGACACTTATACGTTACAATATCTCGGCATACATGTAAGGAAAAGAGAGGCATCACTTCGTATCTCATGAGCACCTAACGCGCACTTCCAAACACCCTGAAGTGCTATCTCCATTGGACCACTGCTAGGATCCTGCAGGAGCAATATGCTTTTGATCCAGATAAAAATGTGTTTGTTGATTAAGCAAAGCTCAAATATATATATACACACACACGTGTACATATATACATACAGAGCCAGAACTATGGTTGTGTATACCAGAAACCAAAATACAGTTGAGTGAAGTAGAAGATCATTAAGTCTTGCTTGCAGGCAAAAGGATAAACAACAGTTTACTGACTTGAAGTGAGAAAACAGGACACAGACACCAGCTTTAGAATACCCTTTCTGGCTACAGAATTGCATCTCAAGCCAGTCAGCAGTGGCATCAACAGGTACCAACACAATCGTGAAAGTGCACCGTTTTATTTGTGAAGGTCCAACAGGTCCACATGAAAGCACAGCTTATCCTTTAAAAAAAAACCCCAAAACAGTATGCAGAACATCCACCTCATACCTGCAAGCAGCAAATTAGGTGCTTGGATTTTTTTTCCTTACCCTTGCATAGGCAGCCAAAAAGAAAAGCACTTGCAAAGGGATATATACACTCATTCATGTAAAATTAGTTCAGACACTTCAGAAGCTTACAAATAAGATCATCTTGCAGCCTCCAAAAGCATGGCAGTAATCTCCTTGAACTCACCTCTGCTCAATGCCAAGATGTGCATTGATACTGGCATATCGAGCTGTGCCAGTGAGATTTTTGTCTTCTCTGTATGGTATGTGTTGCCTTGTCCTGTTGTCCCGGTACTTTTTGGCCAAACCAAAGTCAATAAGGAATAACTTAAAGAAAAATGAAAATAGATTATATTCCTGTACAACGCAAGGAATCCCCAACCTCTTTCACTAGGCATTAGCTACGTTTTAAGACACCCACACAATGTAACAGCCTACAGTTAAGAGGAAGCAAAGTAACAGGGCAGAGTCACAACTAGCTTTAACCAGCCAGTTCGAAAACTTAATAGTGAATTAGTTGAAGCCTTTTCTCAGTCCAGTAGAATAGCTTAGATTGTGCTACTCGGCATCTGTAGCTTAGTTCTACAACTACTTTATGTCACTATTGTAGTTTGTATCACATTAGCTCAATAACTACAGTGCACAATTTAGGAAGGAAACTAATATGTGCGAAAGCACGCTTCACAAAACCCACTCACACTGGAGCAGTTTACACATACAGAGAGTTAATGGCAGCTCAGCAGCTTAATTAATGCAAGTGATGCGCATCCTGCATTCTCCTCTGTGTCTCAAAGAACACTGGCCGTTCTGCAGAGCAAAAGGCCAAAACCTTCAAGAGCAAACAAGACATCTTGCTTTCAATCATGTGCTCATTTTAAGACTACCCGTACGCTATTCACAGCAGCATGACACACTTGCTGATGATATTAATACAGCCAGGAAGCTAGAGCCTAGTACATGGAATCCAATTTAGGTTTCTAATAACCAAGCTTGCCCAGTCATTTTGTATTTAGCAACAACCGAGTGCGTGCTAATTAGCGTGCTAACAGCCAGTCTATCTACAAAGGTTAATACAGACTGTACCTTCTTGCGACAAGATTTCAGGACTAGGCAAAAAAAGCTGAGGCAGAACTACGTAAGGAACTTTTCAAATTCTAGCAATCAGTCTTCGAGCTACAAATCATCAGGCTGAGCTCCTGATTCCAACGCTGGATTAATGCTACAGGATCAGGGACTACAACCCCTACAGATTAACAAATACCGCAAAAGTAACTTGGGTGGGAGAAGGAGATGATGGAAAGAAGACAAGGTTCAAGAAATTCTCAGTAAAAGCCTATCCAGTACCACCTTAAAGGTGATTCCAGAACAGAAGATGCAGCTTTAAATGCAGACAAGTACTGGAGATTGACACGCAGGCATACCTGCATCCAAGACTGAAACAAAGTCTGGCACGCTGAAGCGCTGCGAACTATAAGGTGACGCTAGACATGGAAGGATCAAAGATGCTGAAAGATTGGAAGTTTCTGAATTGCATGGTAGGCATGTTTTAGAATTCGGGGTGAAGATGACTTTCTAACTACAGTAGTCCAGACAGGAAAAACAAAGCTAAAAACCTCTTAAACTGCTGATGTCGGAGCAGACAACCTTGAGTTGAAGTCTTGCCATAATTTATATGCAAACACAAAGCACAGTGGTTCCACATTTGCTGTGCTAGTGAAAGTCACCCTGAAAGCCCAGAATGCTGTGTGCAGGAGGACGTGAAACCAAGCCTGTAAGACAACCACACTGGTCAGGCAGTTCAGGAAAGCGGGGGTCTTGCCTTTGTTGCACCCACCACAGCTACCGCTAGAGGTAGTTACTCACTTGGTGAGCACAGACATCTTCTCCAGCTACCAGCACGTCAATGACTTGGTTACTAAACTCCTAAAGCAGGTAGTATAAAGCTTCTATGTGATTACTATACTGCAAATGCAACTTTTCTAGAAGCAACGCCTGAGCTCAAATGCAATCCCTTATTTTCTGATCAAAGCTTTCTGATCTGATGACAGTCTCTGATCTATAGTTTGCAATAGCTACTTTTGCAGGGCCTTTGCCCGTTAGTTTAAGCAAAATACTATGCCTTAAGGAGGGAAAACCAAACACTATACACATCAGTCAGAATATTTTCTCTGCACATTTAGTTACAAACACTTTAAACACTTCAAAGTCTTAGTGTGCTTTCTGTAATCCTGGGGATCTTGCCATTAATTAATGGTACGAAGGGACAAAGTCACAGTTCATGAATCAAAACAGTTAACACTGGAAGTGTACCTCTACACAAACAGCTGGTGTCTAGCCCTGTTTAGCACCAACATGGTAAGGCTACTTTCTTCAAAAGAGTTACAAAAGTTAACGATGCTCTACCTCTTCCACAGCTGCTACGAGCTCTCGATATTAGACCCAAACACAGTAATTTTGCGTTCTCTCAAGACATATGGGTAGAACTTCTTAAAAAAGAATCAGTTCAGCAACACAGACCTGTTTTACGCTAGTCAAGTAACTGGATATTATTTTACAGCACTGATTTCTCTGGGGAAGTTTACTCTGTTCCCTAGCTTAGGCTCATTCTGTATTTCCCATTCCAGAGGGGTGGAAGGCAAAGGACTGAGTCCATCTTGCAAAGAGTTAAGTTGGAAGATATAGCCTGATTTGGATGAGCACAGAATGTACCGATGCCAGCCAGCAGGAACACAGACGTATTCCCACAGATAACCTCATACCACCTTAATTCTGTTTGTTTCACGATCAGCA